TACAGTAAAGTTTAATTCAGACAAGGGAAAAAAAAAACAAATATAAGAACACTTGGAAATGTAACATAATATCACCACCTAGTGGACAATGCATCTAGTGCTTACTCTTTCAATAGAGGGAAAAACCTTTTCAAATAGACAGATTCTTTTCTCTAAGAGGGATAAAATCATAGAAATTAAATGCTATAATACTAGCAGTATACCAAAACATTATATCATAATACTTTTTACTAAGTTGTATATTTCAAATTTGTTTCTACAACAGGGTAATAGAACTAAAAGTGCAGTTTTTGTTCAGAAATTTAAAATATATCGAAGAAAGCATGCAGGTCACTAGAAATATGCTTCATTGTCATTTATCAATTAATTCAAAAAATATTAGCTGTGACAAATTTACAAATTTAAAATCACAGGGTTATGAGACATCTTAAAAACTTTATTACCCTAGAATTAATTTCTAAATCTCAAAGAATGTTATGTTAGATTCATGGATAAATATTGCCGTAGAGTCAATTCCGACTCATGGCGACCCTATAGGACAGAGTAGTCCTCCTCCACAGGGTTTCCAAGGAGCGACTGGTGGATTTAAAACGTTGACCTTTTGGTTAGCAGCCTGAGCTTTTAACCACTGTGCCACCAGGGCCTATATATATCCTTAATCTATTTATTTTTGTTAGAATTTTCTCAACTCTATAAACTTTAATAGATGGGAAATATTTGTCTTCTTGTCAACATTTAAATATATAAAAGTACCCCTAAGTAAAGGATAATTAAGTTATTCCTAAAGCAGTAAAATTCAGGTTAACTAAAATGAAACAAAATATTTGGATTAAAGTCTCTTACTTTTAAATCATAACCATCAAGAATTCTACTACTATTATAATTTAATGATTGAAGTTTACTTATTTTTCCTTAAACAGCAATAATTTTGAAATCATATCCTACTATAAAAGCAGCATATAACATACTCACACTACATGTATAAGTATCAATCACTATAGTAAATAACGTTTCTTAACACTAAGTTGGAAAATTTAGGAAGGAAAAGGATTAGGATAACTCTCATTATAAAGCTTGTGATTTATTTCCTAAAATTAGCTTATGGTTACATGGCATTTTGAGTTTTCTCTAGAATGTTCACTATATACTAAAAACTTCCTTCAGCCAACATTTATTCAGTATTTATTATATGACACACTTATGAACTTTATGAATATATGGCAGGGGCTGATTTTTTTCCAAAAAAAGGCTAGACCTGTGCCAGGCACTGACTAGAGTCGGAACAAATACATTCTCATTTGAGAAATGAGGACCAGTGATTAAGCTGCGTGCCTTACTGATGCCAGAGCCACGACCAAGTACACAAATTCTCACTCCCAAGGTGTGAGCAGCCCACAGTTTGTAAGCCATATTTAAATTTCCATTAGAAAAAACTTTACATTTGAATGACACTTCGTTTCATTTTTAATGAAATTATAATTGCTTCAAACATAATAAATGCTCTATAGCCTAAGAGACATGACTCTATTCCCTTGTATTAATATATATTTTACTTAAAAGCAAGTCCAAAATAATAACTCACTATTGAGGGTGTGTAAATAAAAATTGAGGATCTTCTCTCTTCAGACAATTATAAAGAAATGTCAAGCCAAGTGGTAGTTAAGTACATATTAGAAATACTGTTAAGTTTTTACATTAAACTATTTCTATTAAAGTACTTTATGACAGATGAAGTGCATTCTAGAAATAACTTCAAGCAGAGAAAAGGGCAGGCAGCTAAAATAATTTCTCTTGCCAAAATGGCATGATATGTTTTTTAAACTCAGGAACACTGTTATAAATGATCTCTGGGTATCCACTAAGTGAAAACATAAATAACATGTGCCAAAACATGGTACAATAGAATCTTACTAACGTTACATAAATATTCTATACCTATAGAATTTCACATAGTATAGAATCAGTTCAAAAAGATTTATTACTAGATCTAAAATAACTTATGGATTAGGTCCTTTTATAACACTCTTTAAAATAATCCTCCTCACAGACTTTAGTAACAGTAACTGCGGAACTCCACTGGCTTTCAAGCATGTCAAAACTTTTTTCAAGGTCTATTTTTAAAAATTCTTGTCAAAAATATCCATATGGTAACTTGTGACAAATGATCAAAATACAAACCTAACTTAGGATGTTTCTAAAAAAGGAAGGCTCTGAAGAGCAAGGAATGACTGGCCCTCCCAGTCTTCTCAAGGGGAATGATCACACTATGATGAGTTTGGTACAGGATCTTGAACTAAAGGTAAAATGATCTGGTGTGCTAAGGTATCTCAGTTGGTGTAATTTTACATAATTCTTTTATCTGTTACATATCTTGGAAAAATTCACCAGCAAATAGCTATCTTCTAAATGCCTAAGAAAATTTAACCATAACATCTATCTTAAACTCAAAAGTACTGATAAACATCCCTATTTTAAAATAACAATTAGTGAAAAATAAATAGTACCTTTTAATTCATGGCATTCTTTTCTAAAATGCCAAGTATTGTATTTTATGTACTTTGTGGAAAACATGGAAGATTAATATACTTCCCTCTGAATTCAGATTTTCTCCAAAACATCTCTTAAAATAGCAGACTTAACACCTAAAAATGAATTGGAACAACAATCTCCCAAAAAAAGCAGTCTTCTTCAATGTATGAGGTAGAATGGTTTCCTCATTTTTGCCAGACTAGGTCAGAGTAAAAAGGTTTTTTCCTCTTAGAAACATTCCTAAACACAAAAGCCTTGCTTCAATAGTATAAGACAAGAAAACTCCTGTTCCTAAATTACATTACTTTTTTTTCAATTTTGACTTCCTGGGGCAAGATCTCCATTATGATAAATTCATGGTGAAAGCATAATGAATTGAGAGTACTTTCCTAATTTTTTTTTTTAAAAAAGAGAGTCTGGATAAAATATACATATATTCTACAATCACTGTTATAACTAATGAATCAAATAACTATTCTATTTTCTAAGTATTGAACAGAGAATAACAAAAACTACTCTGTATTTGTTACTCATAACTATACTTGTACTTTTCACCTGCACACAATTTTATATGTGCAAATGCAGAACACTTTCCAAATCCACTCACTCTTTAAAACCCAGACAAAACATCATCCAACAATGAGGATAAAGTAATTTGTTCACAATTACAGCCACTTTTTAAAAAAGTGTAGAAATGTATAATTAGATTAAAAATAAAATATTACATCCACAGTTCTGAGTTTACATGTCAAAGTTCACATGTCCAAATAATACCTTCCTGTATTGGAATAGCAACCCAGTTTATGGACTCTAACCAATAAACACTGGATACCAAAACCAACACAAAGAATCCTACCCAGGTAGTTTTTCCATAATCTACAAAATATGACTAGATTAGATCATGTCTAAACCTCCTTCCACTTTTAACTTTTTTTTTTAAATAACAGAACCAAAACCAGTTACCTTGAGCTTTACAATTTATATGCTCAGAAGTCATTTTTAAAACCTGTCAGTAAAGATACTGTTTTACTTAAAAGATCTCAGCAAAGAAACTACCTCCTATAAATCTTACCAGGATTATCCTAAACTCTCCTTCGGTAACTGTAGTGGGTTGAATAGTGTCCCACAAAAAGATATGTCCACCTGGGATCTGTGAATGTGGCCTTACGGATCTTTGCTGATGTAATTAAGACTCTCAAGATGAGATCATACTGGATTAGAACGGGCCCTATATCTAATGACACTGTCCTTAACAGACACAGAGACCCAGAGAGAAAGGCCGTGTGAAGACAGAGGCAGAGACTGGAGTGATATGTTTACAAGCCAAGGAAAGTCAAGGCTTGCCAACAGCTACCAGAAGCTAGGAGAGAGGTATAGAACGCATTTCTTCTCAGAGCCTCCAGATAGAACCAACCCTGCCATCATCTTGATTTTGGACTTCTGTCCTCCTGAACTATGAGAGAATAAATTTCTGTTGTTTATGAAGACACCACGTTTGTCCAATTTGTTACAACAGCCCTAGGAAACGTATTTCAGCATTAGCAACATAATTTAGCCTATGATTGTGAGGATGGCGCAGGAACAGGCAGCATTTTCTGCTGTACACAGGGTCGCTATGAGTTGGAACTGACTTGACGGCACCTAACAACAACATAATTTATCTTTAGCCATCATTTATTTCATATTAGGAATTAGTGAAAGAGCTTCATCATGTCTAGGTTCCAAACAATAAACAACAACTCAATTCCCACATCAACAATATATGAACCTCTAATTTATAACATTTACTATCCATGCGAGTCTATTCTGTCTTATGATTAAAACCATAAGTATTTAGAAAAATGTAAAACAAAACTCAAATTCCTAAGAAAGTCCAGACTTACTGGACTGATACAGACTATAGGAACCCCTGAGACTATCACCTCAGATACCCTTTGAACTTGGAACTGAAGCCACTCCCAGAGGTCACTTTTCATCCAAATAGATTGGCTTATAAAATAAACAGTATCACCTGTGAGTACTGTGCTCCCTTATATAATCAACTATAAGAGACCAAACAGTTGATATTTAACCTAAAGCAAAGATGAGAAGGTAAGGAGGGGCATGGAAGCTAAATTAATGGAAACAGAACAAACAGAACTGAGATAATGAGAATGCTGACACATTATGAAAAATATAACCAATATCACGGAACAATCTGTATAAAAATTGTTAAATGGGAATCCAATTTTTTTGCTGTGTAAAGTTTTACCTAGAACAGAATAAACTATTATTTTTTAAAAACTCTATGTATTTATTGAAATGTTAAGCAATGTTTCAATCAAGAATATTACTTGATTGTTTGTAAATATTTTTCAAATACTTTGTCAGAATTAATAAATAAGTTCTAGTACTAAGAAGCATACTCAGTTTTCTTAAACTTGTATATATAAAAAGTTTCCAAGTTTTTTAGTAGCCAGTAGCGGCAGAAAGATATAATTGTAAACAATTTTATTTTCCCATTATTACTCAGGCTTTTTGAGCAGGTCTTAAACTTTTTCCAGTTCTTTACTACTTAACTTCCTTGGATTTGTTACAAATGCTTAAAACATATGTAAAAAATCTAATTTGAGGCTCACCACTGTGCCTTAAAGAAATTCCATAATTTCTACCTGTTCAGCTGTTCATTATCGAAATAATCCAAATACTAAGTCTGCTTTTAGAGTTCAAAATATACCTGATATTACCACATAAACCTCTGAATGTCCTGACTATTTGGCCACTGAAAAGTCTTGTTCAGAAAGGTATAGAAAGTTAGGAAATTAACAACTGCATAGCAACCCAGTTCATAAACAAGTCTGGATGTGGGTGGCAGAGGTATGTTAAGCCTATAAATAACATAAGGTAAAATAAAGTAACGAAATTCCAGCAATTTCTGAGGAACTGTAACCATAAACAAGCATATGAAAAACATTAAATTCCAGAAAATTGATTTTGATTTCAATGAGTCAGCTATACTCCAACCAGCAAATATATAGACCGGAACTAACAAATATTTCACAATTTCATATTTTTGAAAAACCCTTTTCCACACATAGAATGTATAATGTCTATTGTCTGCTAGTAAGTATTTATGAGCATAAGTGAATTTCCAAACTAAAAATAAGGAGACTAAGGTAATCACAAAAAACTGAATTTTACGTTTCCAAACCAAGCAAAGAAAAGCCTTAATTTTGCTAAGAGAGAGTAAGTGAGGAAAGGAAAAAAACAGAGTAAAAGAGAAAAAGTAGAATAGCTGAGGAAAATGTAGACAGGCTTCATGACTACTCCGATCACCAATAACAATCCCACCATTAACTACTACAAAAGCACAAAACACAAATACTAGAAGAATATAGGGCCAAGTTAAAAGTACAAGCATACTCAAGTTCTTAAAAGACATGGAATAAGCCAAAAGAAACTGAAGGATTTTCCTAAATTCTGAAAAGGGTCCTTTGGTAGAGGGAAGCCGCTCTTCTTTCTTCTTTTGTAATTCAGTTTTCCAAGCTTCAGTTAACTTCTGTGCAATGACATTTCCTGCACAGAAGACAGCCCAGATGATATTAGTTTGACGAAACATGAAGCCACAAAATCCAAGCAAGGCTGAAGTTTTGTGATTCCCATAAAGACACATCAAATAGGCAAAAAGAGTAAAAAACATAGATCCTGCTTCTGTATAATAAAGGAAATTAAAAAAATAGAGTGTGGGAAATACTGCTAGTGTTAATGTTGACAAAATTCTCTGGATACTCGAGGCAGCCTAGGAGGCAGAAAAAAAACAGTTAAAATCATTTTCATGGTAAAGAAAATATGCTATTTCTGCTGAGCTAATGAAGGGATTAAAAAGACGAAAGACTACTTGAATCATATTTAAATAAAATTTCAATATTAATCTTATTTCTGGCTTTGCAAAAACAGCAATATACATTTATAAGAGCACTTCCTGATACCTTTTTAGTTACATCTATCAGTTTGGAAACCACTACAACAATGTATGTGTGTGCCAGAGCATTTATGACCTAAAATATATTGAATCATTAAACAAATAGTTTAGGAATCACTGTGTGCAAGGCACTGAACAAAGTTCCAGGGGGGCATATGAAGATGGAGAGAAACAGGACACAGTGCAGGTGGTTCCATTTCTGTGAGCTGAAGTCTTAGCACTTTGAAGAAGCATTCACTTAACCATTCTCACCAATTTCATTGAAGGCTATCCTTTCCAAATTTTTCCCTGGAGAGAATATAAATATGCATGTAACATTTATACTTCCATGCCCAATGGTATTATCTTATGATGAAATTACAGTGGTTTTCCTGAAAATAATGAGCCCATTCTAAAGTTAAGTATCTTCTTTAGCCTTTCTGACTAGTACAGAATTTGAAAGTGTTTTTATCTCCTTGAATTGTTGTTGTTATTGCTTCTTGAGTTGTATCCTCCACTTACTCTAAATCACCAAATCAGACCATGCCACTCCCTGGATTAAAATTAATGGCTCTCCATCACCTATAAGATAAGGTCCAAAGTCCTCTCCATGACTATAAGGATATTCATGATTTTGTCCCTACCCACCTCTCCAGCCTCACATCTCTGAACTTTACAAATCCTGCAATTCTTATCAGCAATTTCCTGCATCTTACTGCTCAATGTCTTTATACTTTTTTATACTGTTTCTCCTGCCAGGATTCCTTTGCCACCCTATAGCCCTATCTATTCATCAACATTCAACTCAAGTGCCACCTCCTCTGTGAAGGCTTACCCAATGCCACTCACTCCCCTCCCTTGCAATCAGCTGAAGATATAAGCTCCACAAGGAAAAGACGGCACCTCATTTATCTCTGTAGTCCCTGTGCCTAGCCCACAATTAAGCTGTGTGAACATACACTGAACTTGTTTGATTCACTAACCAATACTTCCTTCAGAATATACAAATAAATAAGAAAAAAAACAAAAAACAAACCCGTTGCCATCGAGTCAATTTCGACTCACAGCTACCCAAGATGACAGAGTAGAACTGCCCTACAGGGTTTCCAAGGAGCAGCTGATGGATTCAAACTGCTGACTTTTTGCTTAGCAGCCGAGCTCTTAACCATTGCACCACCAGGGCTCCTAGAAATAAGTCAGAGTTCTTCGAGTATATAAATTTCTTCTAAAATGGAGGGTGGCAAGAACTTGCTTTATCGTTGTAAAACATATACAAATACTAAGCGTTAAAGACAGTTTTCACTAAACCTCATAAAACCAATTCATCTTAATTGTGGACCCAACTGTACGTAAACTTGCAATACATTATTTTGAAAACATACCTTGTTTTTGGGTTGTACCCTTCGGAAAAGCAAATAGAGTAAATAGAAGTTGCCAACACTGAAGAGAAGATTAATAAATCTGAGCATTCCAATGGAGCAGACTACATGTTCAGACCATCCAAAGATCCAACGGGCAGGTTTGACCACTCCAACTGACACCAGGTATAAGCCAGGCAATGTAGTAATCATGGGATCCCACTTAAAAATGAAAGGATGGCAGTGAAATAAAAGAGGAAATAACTAGAGAACTACAAACACAAATATATCAAGCTCAAATCGTCAGTAACAACAATCAGGCATTTTGAGAAGTTACTCTATGACACAGATAAGTCCTTGGAAGATCAGACACCTCCTCTAAGGAAAAGTTTTGCTTGGTTTTTGCCTCTACACTTACTTTGTCATTGTTAAGGTATCAGCAACCAGTGGAAATGTTATATGCATTATCCAAGACCTACTCTTTGGAGAGTCTGTATCTTAGTGACTACATGTAAATGCTGCAGTTTTAAAAAGCATGGATACATTGGTTAGAACACTGATGGGGCTTGAGATAAAGAGGTGTTGACTACAGGTTCCATTAATAACAGCCAACATTCACTGAGCCAGGAATTGTGCTACGCTCTGTATTTAATCTTGCATCATCCCCACGTAGATGAGTACTGTCATTTTACAAATGAATAACCTGAAACTCAGAAAATTTCCAAGGTCTCATAACTAGTAAATAACAGGGTCAAGATTGAAAGTCAGATCTTTCTCTGACTACTCGTTGCAATCGAGTTAACTCTGACTCAGAGCAAACCTGACTATAGACTTTATATTTCTAACCATTACTGTGTGCTTCCTCACTGAAGAGGAGGGATACTAGGCCTACTTTATTTTTATGGCTACAGTCCCTACCTCCCTACCCTGCTTGGCCCACAAGCACTGTGTAACTGTGTAGTAAAACATACGTTTAAAATGATGCCACTTCATTGGTTGACAGTTTAAGTTAACAGAAAGCTTCTAAAAACAACCAGGAATGGAATTAGCAACTTGTCATCTCTTGGTGGCTGAAGATCCCCCACCATACCTCACTCAAACCCAAGACTATAGTAATGTGCTGGACACAGATGAACTACAGGGAGATTTTCTGATATTTCCTAGCAGTAGCCCAATGCTTCCAACCCTGGGATTGGGGGAGAAAAACTGTGATAGATATCCTCCGTTATCAAGAAGAGGGTCAGAGACTCAGTCCCCCATTCTTCTCGACCATTCCTTCCCAAGAGGCAGATCTGTTTATTCATTCATTTAACAAATATTCCATACATCTCAGAGGCGGGAACAAAAGATATCCCACCCTTCATGTTTCCAGACTGGGAGGTGGCGCGGGGAGAACTAAGGATAAGGATGGAAGACAACGCTGGGAACAGATCTGCCCTCTCTGACCTGCCCTGGGGTGGAGACAGGTTGGGGATCCCACCTGTGAGAGGGAGAAGTGGCCCTCACAGTAGCGCTGCGCCTGTGGCAGGTGGAAGATCTCATCCATGTAGGGCTCTCGCAGAGCCCGGCTGAAGGCGGAGAAGAGGAGGCAAGACAATAAAAAGGTACAGCTTAGGGCAGCCGAAAAGTAGTAACCCTCCAGCTGCGCCATTCCTGCTCCCATGGCCACGGCCCATAAACCAACTCCTGGAAATTCTTTGCCGGGTTCCCGGGCTTGGAAACTCGAGTTTGAAACTCGGGATCGAAATGGGCGCGTAAGGAAGGAGACTAGACAAACCGGACTAAGAACAGCCGGAAGGCAAAGGATGCTGGGAGAGGGCGGACCCTGAGCTTCCGGAGAAACAGGATCATTGTTTCCGGAGTGACGAGTTTAGGTAACGGACAGGTTGCTGCGCCGTCGATCACGTTGCCACGGGCGTACACAGTGGTTAGAGCCACAGGGAGAGGCGGGTCTGGGAATCAGCTTGCGCGGGAAAAGCGCTGCATGAAGCGTTGAAATGAAAGCAGCTTCTTAACCTGCAAATCAGTCCGCTTTTTTCCTGTTCGTTCCCATCTGTCACCAGAAGGTGGCGATGTTTCCCCACTTTTGCAATCTCCAACCTCCACATTTGTTTGCAGTGCCCCCCACCTCCCGCCCCAGTTATTTCTGTTTTCTCCCAAGTGATCTGAAATACTAATCCTCTAAATTCCAGGACATTTGATTTCATCAACTTTGGGGAGTAGAAGCAAAGATTCAGATTTTTAGACTAAGACGTGAAGGACTGGAGAGACCTTCTACTGCTGAATGAACTTCATCAGTTAGAGGAGTTTTTAGGTAAAAAGTGATTCGTTCAAAATGTCGCTACTTTCAAAGACGGTTTAATTGAATGGGCATTCACAGTCACCTCGACAGCCAGATAACAGTACTCTGTGGTTGCTGGGGAAAGCAGTTATTTCAGAATTTGGGGTGTTTTAAGGAAAAAAGTGTGCTCTGTGCCTGTAACGTTTGGTTGTTCTTGTTAATATCTCTATTGGAGCATCTTTTCAGAGCCAGTCTTCTGGTATAATTGGCTAGATCCACATTCTGGCTTTCCTATTAAGTCATAAGCTTGAGGATCATAATGGGTTACTCTACGTATCACTTGTGTTTGCAGTCCCCTAGATGGATTTCATATAGTAGGCACTTAAATTTGTAGATTTTTATAGGCTGTGCAGAATTTACACAGTTCCTGTAATGGAGGTGGGGGGGATGGCGGTGGGCAGGAGGTGAGGGAAGGTATTAGAAAATACTGAAGATACATTATGTCTTGTAATTTTGCCTAGAGCATGGTTGGCAGTGTTCTCCGGAAAATGATCTCTCAGGTAACCTCAATCGGGTTACCTTTGGCTTGAATAACATCAGAAAGATTTCAGGATTTGTTTATGGTCACAAACCTCAGGGTTCTTAGTTCATCTCTTTCTCTGGAAGAGGAATTAGTTCAGCTAATTCATTCTCTTCCAATTTAGGCAAATTTCTCAAATTAAGTCAACTGCCTCCGTATGTAGTCTCTGGATTTCCTCATTGATAAAAGGAGTATGGAGTGAAGCAGGGATGGGGATGGGAACATTTAAATCACTGCTATAAAATCATGTCAGTATCCTACTCTGATGTGATGATCAACTTTGTTTTTCCCATTATCTCCCACTTTATATGGCCTTGGTGATACAAACAATGCCAGAGATCATAGCATGATAGAATTTTGCAAGACCAATGACTTCTTCACTGCAAATAACCTTATTTCAACAACATAAACAGTGACTGTACATGTGGACCTCACCAGATGGTAGAACACAGGAATCAAATTGTCTACATCTGTGGAAGGAGCTGATGGGGAAGCTCAGTATCATCGGTACAAGGCCAAGGGCTGATTGTGGAACAGACCATCAATTGCTGGTGTATAAGTTCAAGTTGAATCTTAAGAAAATTAAAACAAGTCCCTGAGAGCTAAGGTATGACCTTGAGTATATCCCACCTGAATTTAGAGACCATCTCACGAGTAGATTTG